AACTGAACATCCTCGGTAAAAGAAAACGCATCAGGACCATAAACCGGTCACGTTCACGACCCGGAAAGCCGCAAATGGGTCCCTGCCGCCGCAATCGATCACCACTGTTAGATTTTCTTTTCGTCACTCTACTGTGCCGGGCCCTCTATTTAAACCCTTTTGCTTGGATTGAAGGAAACACAACGATCATATAACAAATGGCGTCTTGGAATTCAGTTCATCTTGAGATTCTGTACAACGTTCTTGGATGGGTCGCCTTCGTCTCTTGGTCCATCAGTTTCTACCCTCAAGTCATCCTCAATTTTCGAAGGAAAAGGTTTTGATTTTCCCCCTTTTTTCTTTTGTTTAATATTTTCTTGCTTGGGAGTGGATTTTCTGGTTGAATAATCTCGTTTTCTTGTTTGCTCGACTCTTGTTGGCAGCGTGGTGGGATTGAATTTCGATTTTATAATACTCAATTTGACCAAGCACTCGTCGTACCTGATTTACAACGCTTCACTGTTCTTTAGCTCGGCCGTTCAGAGGCAGTACCGTGAGAAATTTGGTTTCAATCAGGTTTTGTTAATTTAGGTTCTGTTCTTGATTTGGTTAAGAATCGCTTCCTTTTTTGTGGGTTGCTTTTAGTTTTCGTCTTGGTTTATGAGGTATGTGTGAATTTGTTAAATATGTTAGAATTGTTGATGGGCAGATGATACCAGTTGCTGCTAATGATGTGGCTTTCTCCATGCACGCTGTCTTACTGACTGCCTTTACCTTGTTTCAGATTGTAATTTATGATGTAAGAATCAGTTCCCATCTGTCTATTTCTGAGGATTATCTGTTGAGATGAGTGGATTTTTTCCCACAAGGATGAGTAGTGGTCTGTTTGTGAGTGAGTTCTTAACTTCTTATACTCTTCTCCACCCAGAAATCGAAAAAGTTGTGTTCTTTGACGTGTGCGCGAACACTTTCTGATACCATTTCACTCTTTGTACCGAGAAATGGAAGTGCGTTGTTCCATATCTGGTGTGTGTTTTGTTTTTGTTTTCTCTGTTTTTAATGCTGTGTTGTTATAGCTAACACTATGAGAATGCAAAATAGGGGGTTCTGATTTATTGTGGATAACTATAGTTTGAATTAAAAAAATTGGTGGGAAGAAATGCTTGGGTATTGACATTTTGCTTCTTGATCCGGTTTAAGAGACATAATCATCCTTCTTTTTATTATCGAGTGTCTTTGCAGCGTGGAAACCAGAAAATCTCCAAAGTCTCGATTGGAATTGTTTCTGCAGCTTGGTTATTTGCTGCGGTTTGTGTCTGTATTGCTATACCGAAACATTCATGGTTGTGGCTGGTCTCCTTTTGCTTCAAGTAAGAATGTATTCTTTTGCATAACAATTTGAGTGATCCCTATAGTGTAAATTAACCTATCTGTTTAAAATCTTGCTTTTTTCAACTCCGGAATCCTTTTTATATGTGTTGCAGCGATATTCAGGTTGTTATGACGATCATCAAATACATTCCTCAGGTAGGCTCTGTATTCGTCTTTTCTGTACATTCTTTTGCTGATAACTCTTTAGATGAGCAATTGATGATGAGTCCAACAAACAACTATTATTAGGTCGTCTTGAATTTCCGGCGAAAAAGCACAGTTGGGTTTAGCATCGGCAACATATTGCTCGATTTCCTCGGAGGGGTGACTAATTATTGCCAGATGGCTGTTCAATCCATAGACCAAAGTGAGAAATACTTTATATGGGGTTTTCGCCATTGTTACGCATTGATAATATATATATACATATATTTTCTAAATTTGTAATGTTATCTGACACAGATTCATGGGTGAACTTCTATGGAAACATTGGAAAGACAATGATATCATTAGTAAGGAGTATTTTCTTGTTCTTTAAATCTGCTGCTAGTTATAGAAATAGAGATGTCAAATAACATTGGCTTGGCAGGGTGGGTCTGCCCGCTGGCCCAATCTCGTTTTGGCATCTCTGCATGGTAGCTTGTTCTCGGTTATTTTCGACCGAATTGTATAAAACGAGATTATGACCCTTCGAAATTGGAGTTATCCACTTTAAGGTTTTACAAAACGCGAAAGTGATTTTCTTTACAAAAACCTAATTACGGTTGCATTATGCAATACGGAAACATATATGAGTGAAAAATTTTCAGTTTGAAAGATGTTTGTTTTTCTGTAATTAGACTAACCTCAAAGACGACTCTTCGTTATTATCTCATGTTTTTGTTACTAAAAAAATAATAAAAATAAACAATGTTACACCATTTTTTGGCAGGTTTCAATCTTCTTCGATATACTCCTCATAATCCAGCATTACGTGCTGTATCGCCCCAAGAAAAATGGCATCCATTCGGACCCAAATGTGGTAAGCAAGGATCCACTTCTAGAAACCACTGATCCTCTTTCTGACAATG